TGATCTGCGCACTATTAAAGGAACCATTAACTCACTCAACTTTTCCTTCTACTATGGCTCCGATGACTTACCTTCTGCCTCCCACTCAAACTCCTAACCACATTTACATTATCTATGAGAAGTATTACTACTGCTATAAGCATGGGTAGTTACAAAAGCAGAAGGCTAGGCACTAATATAATCATAGTGTGCACGTAGTAATGATACATACAAGAGATCTATGTGTTTGCATTATGATTGTGAGTTCTATGCAGATTGCATTTCAATTAGGACAATGGCCACGTTGCGGTTTGAGCACGTGGGCGGTCGTGCCAGAGATATTATGTTTTGCGTCTTGAGGCCACAACTTTATCAGTGAATGAGAGCTAAAGTGCATTGCCAGTTGCCACGCCGGCGTGGTAATGCACAGAGGACAAAATGCTGTTTCGACGTGGCGTGTGTAGTATGTGCTGCATATCAGATGGCGTGTGGTTAAGCTTTGCCATGCAGGTTAGGTGAAAAGTGCAGTTCCACAAACATGAGTGTTTTGAGTGGTAAACGGGCCTAACAAGCAGCACGTAGTTGTCCTACCGACAAGGCTACTGCCTATTGAGGCAAATGTCTATCACGTCAAGAATGATAGAACGAATATTCAGAGTAAATATTTGATTTTTCATGGTTATACAGCCTTTTCAACGAGTCGAAGCATAACTTCACACAGGATAATTTCTGCCAAACCTCCCGTTGTTTTTATATTTTAACGCTCAAGAAGTGGACCGAAGTCATACAATTGCCATGGCCTTTCTATACATTATGAAAGCTTTCAAACTAGTCCCACATTTCGGTATGCTGAGTAATTTCCAATTAATATGTCAATTGCGCAAGCTAGCTGTTATGTCCCTAATCATACCGGGCAGAGCGAATACAACCGGCACGACAATGCAACACGGAATCGAAGCAATGTTTTACAGGGTAACATTGAATGTCTACTATTAATCCGATTGTGTTTTAGTGAGGTGTCCGATCCTTATTTTCCACTGGAGGCCAGGTTTGTTCACAGATATTATCAACATTCTCTTCCCACTTGATTTTAACGGCGTAGACACTGGTTTCTTTCATGCTCAAAATCTCGGCAGTTGTATTAGCGCACATGGGAACGAAGAGGAGGTCACGAACCATATAACAAAAGCTCGAGGTGCGTTTGCCAATCTGTGTCACCTGTGACGCCGGCATGACATCACTCGTGCTCTGAAGGGAAGAGTTTCCAATACAGCTGTCCGTTTAACCCTCCTGTACGATAGCGAAAGTTGACCCATAAGTCGACAGATTTAAAGAGTTTCGTTACCTTCGATCATTGCTGCCTTCGCAGTTTAGCTCACCGTGTGAGCAATGTGTGTATTCGGCGTCGTGTATTTGGTGTAGGAAGAGCAAGTTAACCACTAAGCACTGTCTGGCTGGAAAGAAAAGCCAGGCGAAGACTTGATCAAAAGGAATGAAAACTCTCACTTCGAAGTTGACCTCACCAGACTGGGGTCAGAACGACGATAAAGACGTCTAGTTGGATACACCAGTTGACATAGCGAGGTGTCGACGTCAATAACGTTTATGTTGTGAGTCTTGATCCCTCATCCTCCCCTTCCGGCTTAGCCTCCCTCTCCCACCACGATCTTATACCTAAAGTACAATAAGATATTTAGCATTTTACTACCTTTCTAGTTGTGATAGTCCGCAATTTTTCATACCTTATCTTTCGTGTGCTGCGGCACATCAGCTGAGGGTGGTTTCTCCCCTTCAGCCAACGTATATTGAAGATGATGAGATTCGAAGAGACCATAATGATTTAGGCTGTTGTTGCGACCTTTGGTAAATAGATTTTGCACCGGCAAAATGCAACGCCATTTCGTATCGATATAATCTAACGACCAATGCACAGAAAATAAACGGATCGCCACTTGGAAATTGCATCACAGTGCCTGACCTAAGAGTGCCGTAGTTCAATCCAATGAACTTAACTTAACCTGAAGGATATAGTGTGGCTAAGACCAATCAATCAAAGGCCATATTTGCAAATAGCTGATGCTTAGGGAATCAAGGATTGTCTACCATAAATTCTGCAGCTTGGTGTTTTCAATCTCGTGAAAAAGTGACAGAATCTCAATCGAGAGTGCAACTTCCATTTACCAAATGCATATTAGAGTTATCCACATTATGCTCTCGCAATGAATGTAAACAACTCCAGATGGATCTACCGCAGCTCCACATCAACACTGTTTTTCTATTCCAGATGCGAAAAAGCTCAAATGTGAGTACTGAATACCTTGTTCGACAGAGGGAGGATGTGTCCATCAGTAACATAAAATGCACGTGATTATGCTTCAGTTCCATTAGCTACTGATTCACATTTACATGAAGAGGTGACCTATGGCCATCAGATCGAGTTGAAACATTTTGAACGTCCCAATGCAGATTGCTCAGTACCTAAATTCGTCTGAAGATTATCCATGAGAACGCAGACCGGATCGCTAGTAATTTGCAAACGTGACAAAACGTTTAGACATATGCCTTACTGCTGTTGTCTTGTACAATTTAGAAACTATAACAACACATTAATGGGATCTTACACACAAGCGCCGGTGTCTGTGGATCGGTGGTTAAGTCGTTTGGATGATGACTACGATAGGGGTTGCCGCCGCTCGATCATACTCATACGGTGCCGCACTGTTAGCCTTCACTGAATAACACTGTTAATCTTTCTAATGCTACGTCAGAGATGTATGTTGATACACTTGAGAAATGTGGGCTCCGGTCTTCGGGATGCTCTTCGCCCAAATGTCCACTGAAATGGAGACCCAAATAAGTGAAAAGGCGACACGTTCCTCACAAACGCTCAAAAATTTGCACCTCGAACCTAGACTTTACATGTGTTGCTAAGAAACCCAGTTAACTGATGGGAATTCACTTCCCATCTTGGAAACACCCCTTGGAGATTTGACTCGGCTCCATGAACGCCAACGCACCACATGGAAATCTCTTTGGATCAATCAACACAGGATCGAATGGGCATATTCCAAAGCTAGAAAGATCACAAAGATGTTCAGCCTGGGGAGGTCCTTAAACCTGTCACTAACTTTTCGTCGAGGTTCAAGCTTATGCTATGTACTGTGAATGTATCAGTACTGAAAGAACAGTCTGATAACTCTGATCAAACTATTACCAAGATCAATGAGAACGTCTTATTGTATCCAGATTCTGAATATAAAACCGAGATTATGCACGAGATTCATTGCTTTCGGTCACGAAATTTTAGGCCAACTGAAACTAATTGTAAGGAAAAATTTTACCAAAACTCTTAGGTCGAATAAATACAAATCCCGAGGATTCCGTTCTGTAATGTGCAATCTTTGGTCGACAATACGCGTCCGCTTACTCGAATAGCAGTGCATAATTGTTTACCCATTTATAAACTCTGGTAGTTTCGATGAGGTCAGTTTATTCCATCTGCGGTGGATAATGTTAAATGACGAAAATGCACCCATTCGAATACACAAAGCTTAAATCGATTTGAGGTACTTAAAAATACTGTGCCAACTGTACGCCGTAACGGCGCTTCGCTGCCGCGCGACCACCACCAGTCGCGCGCGGACGTCCACCCCTATGCGGATCCGAACTGGTGACCTTATGATTGCAAGCCAAACGCGCAGACCCCTCGGCCACCTGCCGGCAGCTAAGCGCCGTTACGGTGTACAGTTGACACATTATTATTTAGTTGAGTTATTTACCAGCATATGACTGGACAGGCTGATAACCCCCAACCTACGACATTTAAAGCGCACATAATCTCTGTGTGTAAGCCATGTCTGGATAATTCGGTAATTAACTGGTTATGCCTATTCAGGTGTAGTCCGTGACAATTGGGAAAACAGACTGTTTATTCAAACGATCAAATGAGCCTAAATAAAGCACCGATGGAGCTCTCTAATGGGAAGCACAGCCCTGAGAGTATCGCTCTCTGGAAGACCGATATCACCGAGGGATGTTCAAAATCCTCTGCAACACTTTAACGCAGCTCATCAATCATCCGACGCCAAAAGAATCGCGCACCTATTGGATGACATTTCGATCAACCGACGGAATGATAAGAAAAGGCGGCTAGTTTACGCTTTGCTTTCAGTCAATAACAGCTGAATATGTAATTCTATTCAGCGCTTCGCTTCGTCAGAGACATGTAAGGGTTGTGTGTGGCAAATTAAGTGGGGTTGGTAACAACGTGTATAAAAAAACCATAAACGAAGCGGAGAAGTGACTTCCACGTGTACAATAAGAGTCTGATTTCTTAGGTGGCAAATTACAATAGAAAAGAAAATGGAGATTTTAAACTTGTTCATTAAACTTCATTTTTCTGAAGATGTTGCATCTGGATAGCAGAGGGAAAATGAAGGGGGAGAGAAATCACAAGATTTTGTAGGGGTGGGGAGAGAAAACACAGCGGAAAGGAGATATAGGATTACAACCGTCCTTCGTAAAAAGAAGAAATGTACACAAACTGTCGGTAATCAACGCACAATCGTAATGGGAGGTAGAGGTCGCATAACGAATCGCGCGTGAATCAAAACACGGAGAGAGAGTGATTCTCAAAAAGATGATCGGTTAGAATGGAGAAGCGGGGGGGAGGGGGAACCCGCCGAGCATTGTTTCCTAGCTTGTCATTAGAGTACAGTTGTAAACACATAAAGAGCGGAGGAGTTATACTGGTTCTGAACAAGATTGTAACTCAGAAAATATTGGAAAGGATGGCGCGTGGAATAGCGTGTGAGATGGATGTGCGAGGATAGTGGGGGGGGGGTCGGTTCGGTTTGCTTGAAACAGCAAATCGCAGACGGGAGGTTGAAAATTATGAGGATACCCATGAGCTGTTACTTGTTGATTAACTCGCTGCTAGGTTCTAGTCTTAAATCGGCTAGAAGAGAAGAAAAATCGGATAGGCGCTGATACTCCTCGTCCTCATCGTGTGCGTCGGTCTTAGGCACCGATGCGGCCTCAGGAGCACGGTGGACACTCACTGAACCGCATGGAAAAGCGTTTCTTACATCCGCATTCTGCTCTTCCCCAACGGACGTTTGGGCAGGACACCCTGTGGGTACGACAACATCGGTGATGTTTGACGGTGGAGTGACCTTATCACCACTGCCGAGAGAATTGGAACGCCATTGGTTGACCTGACGATGTGTAGCTCCCGCCCCAGCGTATGCGGGGAACGAATTGGAACGGGTTTGGTCTCCACTGGTGAGAATGCAGTGGCAACCGGGGTGGGAATCGCACGAGTCATGCGAAGTCGTTGATTGTGGGGGGTTAGACATAGATGTGGGTTCCGCGAAGCGAGAAGGCAATGAAATCTCGAGGTTGGGTTGCCCGACATTTGACAAGTGCTTGCCATGAACATCCACCTTATTGTCCACTGGGCAAGACCCATTCATATCGGATTTTCGGTAGCGTATCACAAAGGGGCGTTCGTCAGCTTGTGTAAACACAGGATTGGATGTGCATGTGGACAGCCGTAGCGGACATGGGAGCATTTCTGGAATCACAGTCAAATGAGTGATGAGAGCGTGAAGCGATGGCCATTCCTTATCCAAGCCCTAGGAGAAAATAAAAAAACATTGGATAAACATCGATACATGTGAAGCGGTTGGTTGCCAAAGTAAAGTGGAAGATGAATATAGAGTGTTATTTTCCTCGAAAACACTGCACTCCAAGACAAGTTACGAACTGGTTTTACTTCACCCGGTAAAGATAGCAGGCATCGGACCCGAGCATTTGAGGTGCTAGCCGAAACCCTGACTCCTTTAGCTACTGAGTCACAAGCAGTAACGCTTGTCACAATGTTTACTGACCGATTGGACGGTCATTTTGAAGCCCTCGTAATGTGTGAATAGATTGCGACGCGCAATCGCAATGTGGACCGTGGTTTCGCATTGAAGTGAGCCTTAGTCAATTCGATAGCCGGGGTAGTTAACTGGGTGTTACCCACTCGAAAACACTGCACGTTGATTATCTCAAAGACTCACTGAGCATCTGTGTGACTAGTCCATGGTAGATAACCAGGGGATTTGCAATCAGATTTGAAAGAAATGAGAATATGAGTAGCTCGGGATGTGGATGCGGATTTTGAGCTGTTCTCCGAGAGCATCCCAATGGGATCGCCAATCTCTGGTCTGGTAGCCGAGGCAGTGATGCAGGCGCTGGAACAAATAGCATTTCCGATCGCGAGACCAAAACTTTAGGTACCATACGTAGACGACACGTTCGACATCCTCAAGCGTTCCAAATTGGAGGAAACACACGAACTAATCAACAGTGTGTTCGATGGCATCCAATACACCAGGGAGGAGAACAACGAGCAGTTACCATTCTTAGACGTCCTCATAAGACGAACTGGTGGTGAACGATTGGAAATAACAGTCTACCGAAAATGTACGCATATGGATCAGATTCTCAACTACGGCAGCCCACAAACACAGCTGCGTGTGAAGGGTTTTCAAACGAGCACAAACCCATTGTAGCACAACGCAGCTGAGAGTGGCAGAGGAAGACCATCTCTTCAATCTGCTCAAGCGGAACTCGTACCCAAGAAACTTCATTCTACGCTGCCTCGTAGCACAAAAGGCTGCTCAACACACCTCGACAAACGCAACAGTTGAAAAGAGAACAACTCTGCCCTATATCAATGGAATCTGAAATGGCTGCTAGTGAATGCATCGGAGAACGGTCGATCGCTGTGAATCAAAGGGGGGAACCGCGAAGATGGATAATTCAAAGTGTTGTGTTGAACAACACGGTGTATAGTCGGTTCGCGTCCGAATAACTGTTCTGTCCGCCTGGTGAAACAGTCCCAATGCCTGCTCCCATCATACTGAGTCTGCTAGCCCCAAATCATACGGAGTTCTCAGTTTCAGTGAAACACAGTGCCCGAACGGAACACGCGTTCGTACAGGGGTGGGGGGGGATCCCATTTTGTTCCACTGTACCGGAGTAGCATTAGCTCAAGATAGCCGGGCCGCGAAGAGAAACGCAACGAACGAATTGTCAGTAAGCACAAGCTAAGTATGCAATGAAAACATATTGCTATTCAATGGGGAATAGTAGAGAGCGGTGTTCAAGTATGCATTAGGCCTACATTTTGAACATTCAGAAGGAATGTCAAAGGAAGTCTGTCGTAGTCGCATCCAGGCTAAGCGAAATCACTCGTCAAGAAAAGAACTTGACCGTAGTCCAGGCAGCACTCAGGAACTCCGTAATAGTGTGCCTTCTGTGAACCTAGTGAGGGGTGTTGAACTGACGGTTTGCTGATCGAGTCAGGAAAGAAATTGACAGTGTGTGTCACAAAGGGGAGATTTGTGTATTACAGCCAATGTTCTACTGGTATGCACATTGATACCAGTCAGATGCACGAGTTTTCATACCAATCGTCCTCCGATACTGCCAGATGGTGTAAGCAAAACCACGTGATGGCTCAGTATAATGCAGGGGTGTCCAAACTTTTGTAAAAATGTGTCGGACCATATTCAGTTTGACATTAAGATAATAATAAAAAGTGCACATGTACGAAAAAGCCCAAGCCTGAATTTATTACTTCATGATGAGGCCGCGGGTCAGTTAAAATGTTAACGCGGGAAGCATTTGGCCCTCGGGCCGGAGTTTGGATATCCTTGGTACAATGACTTCACAGTGTAGTGCCGCTACAGCACAATGTTCGTTTGGTCCGATCCCTCGCCTTCAGGGTGCGCAGTATTTATGTAACGGATACCATGAACGACGAATTGCAGAGAATCAGCGACACCCTAGGAGAAAATGGCTATACAGACAAATTTGTCGCGAAGCATCTGAGGGAACACAAGCGCAAACTGCCTAAGTGCATTGAATCTAATAAGAACTGTTCATGCACTTGCCATTTAAGAGCGATTCTACCGCTGATACCCTAACTCGATGATTGAAAGATGCTGTTGATAAGGTATATTTCGCAGCCTGATTGAGAATTGTTTACTACAACAAGCAATTGCTTGCAAAACCTTTGAAGGATGGACTGCCCTACTTGACCCGTTCAATGCTCATTGATCAGTACTCGTGCACCTGTGATGCATGATGCGTGGGTCGCACTATGAAGCGCCCTTCTAAGAGGATTAGCGAGCACATCCCGACCTGAATGTAAAAGGCCACACAGCCTAGGGGGACGACTTCAATGTCATATACTCACTATCTGAATGTTTCGCGCAAGGCTTCCGCAAGCAGCCCCTATCCATTCCTGAGGCTATATACATCCGTCATTTAAAAATCGAACTACGTGTGCAAAAGCGGTACATACGTCTGTCACTACTTCCTTGGCCAAAAGACAATGTTACCTAACCATTTGATTGCCCTCTGAGCTTCTATGTAATATATTTCTTTTTGTTGTGTTGACCACCTATTGCCTAACCCTGAGCTATCGATCAAATGCTCGAACAACCCAGAAATCGATTCTTACCCCGATTTGACGCTAATAACATTTAATAGCTACTACGTAGATGTTTGGGTCCAATGAGTTTAATCGAAAAGGATTCTTAATATAACACTCAGTTGGTATTGATTTCATCACTTAGAAGTCCGTCCACGCCTCAGGTGGAGGCTCGCAATGTCTCGTTCCTCAGGGATAGTAAATGTCCTAGTTCAAGTAAATTAGACTGCCGGCCCTTCGCAAACGCGCCTGTGGCCCGCACAAAGGATACAATAAAGAGCCACGAGGCCTTCTCAGTTTGATATGTCTGATGTGCCTAGTAGCGTAAGTAAACAAGCGAGTCTGTTGAAGGTGCAAACTATGTGAAACAAGTCGACGCCCAGAATTGGCTAACTGCTTGTTTATTTGATCTTTGAGTATTGGGGCGCCCGTCGTGTGTGTTGGATTGCGACACGCAATCTCAACTGTGGCCTCGGTTGACTTTGAAGTCAGTCTCTGCCAATACGGTCACTGGGACCGTCACCGAAGTGGAGGGTTTCGGTGTGGCTCTCTCCCATCCCTGCACTCCACGACCGACGGTTTCGTCTTTGTTTAGACTCATCAGGTAGAGATAGCCGAGCTGGGAGTGGAACTCGGCGCATAGTGCTTGGCGGCTATCGCCATGATCACTAGGCCATTGAGCTCCGCGAGCAGTGTTTGACACAGCGGTTAGAAGTAGATTTTCGGGTTTTGGAGCACCCGCCGTGTGTCTTGGATTGCGACGCGCAATCTCACTAGTGGCGTCGGTTGACTTTGAAGTCAGCCTCTGCCAATACGGTCACTGGGACCGTCACCGAAGTGGAGGGTTTCGGTGTGGCTCTCTCCCATCCCTGCACTCCACGACTGACGATTTCTTCCTGGTTTGGACTCATCAGGTAAAGGCAGATAGAGATAAGTCTAAAATAGGACGAAGCCGTCGGTCGTGGAGTGCAGAGATAGGAGAGAGCCACAGGGAAACACTCCACTGCTTAGCTATTTGTTTCCACTGGGCACATAGCAATAATTGCTCAAAGGAGTAATCAAGAACGTCATTGAAACCATGTGAGGATGTTCAGACAAACCTCACAAATGAACAGTTTCCGAAACACCGCTCAGCACGGAGACAATCGACGGATGGTGTGAAGGAAGCGGCGTAGAAACAAGGAATCAGCATCTAATAAAGAGATGCTGACATGCTTACGGGTTGATTGAGACACCCGTTATGTGACTGGATTGCGACATGCGACCACTGTCTGGATCACGGTTTAAGTTGACCTGAACCCCAGTCACTTCGGGCACTGAGACTGCATATGGAGCTGATAAAATGTGGTGACGTCCGCTCCCCGAACACTGCTCAGTGTAGAGGAGGAGAGCTGAAGTAGCGTAGGAAGCACCTACGGCGCGATTAAATTCAGAATCCACAAACAACCGATTTTGATGGCTACACAATATGGTGCGCTGGCTGTGCACACAGTCACGTGACAATCGCCAGCCTCGAACAAATTATCGAAGCGCACCAGTCACATTACGATTATCGGTGTCTGACGATGATATGCATAAGGCGGTGGTTCAAAGCCAAGTGCACTTGTCATACGTTTGTGCATGGTTCATACCGGATAAGTATGCAAGCCTGTCTAAATGCGAACCAAATGTCAGGCGTAAACCGATGCAAAAGCACACAGGTATATAGATCGGAGAGGAGTCCGTCATACGACAAATTATCCTGCGTTTGCCAAGCACTGCTAGAGATGGTCTGCACGCAAGCTGCAAACAAACTGGAGCGATCCAAAACATAATAAGCAGAAGCGAATACCAAGAGGCTTGTGAGAGATTTAACGCACTATTGTAGGATAAGCCCAAAAGTTACGGTGTAGAACGTCGATATCATCTGGTGCTTAGGGGAGGGAGCACCAATAAACCACATCGACTTGTGCTGTGCTCTGTTCCATTCCGATGCATCACAGACAGACATGCGAAACGTATCCCGTTAACAGTTATGAGAGCAAACAACTCAGGTAAAGCTTGTTACGGCTTTTAAAGTGTCTATTGTGCGTCAAGATTGCGACATGAGATCTTCATGGAAATCACAGTTTACTGGGAGATGAATCTCGTTCATCCCAATCGTTGGGGCGATGTTCGAAGTGGAATGGTTTCGGTGTTGCTCATTTTTAACAACAATTAAGTCGGTCGGATATTCGGATCGTCGTGAGGTGTAACCATACAAGAGCAACTCTTAGTCGGCGATAAGTGCTACCCTTCTCGTCAATGCGATGAGCCTATTCAACACCTCAGAACCCGCCACGGGTGTGATGAATCGGTAAGACACCTGGACTTCTCAGTTTGTGATGATCAGCATGATCACGTGGGACACTTGAAACATGATGGACCATCTTAGAATTGTTTTCCGGAAATTACTGATGACGAACAGTTGGGTAAGGAAAACAAAACAAACTTTGGGAAGCTATAGAAATATTCAAACGGCTGTTACCAATGATAGAGGTTAGAAAAAAGAGACACAAAGATTTAATGCAAAGAAGCTGTGAATGACAATATACAAACTATGCGGAAAAGAACTTCAGTGAATGAAATGAGAACAAGATTTGTTTACCTTGAGCCGAACACCGCAAGGAGTATGCTGAATGAGATAGTGTGTGATACCGGAGGAGTTGTCTTGAGTGGGAACTCGCACAGACAAAGCACAACAGTCCGGATGGGTTGCACTATTCCGGACGAGGAAACTACCCACCTGCAAGTGATCAGAAAAGGCAAACAAATAGATTTGATCAAATTTTAGCGGGCGAATAAAGGGTTATATGTGAAAACACGCGAAGGGTTCAAGAACAGATGTCTGCAGTGAACGCGTCGCTTCAGCGGAGACAAAGGTTTCGGTAGGAACATACCTATTTATGGGGTGCAAATGGCGTTTTATGTAGTTGCATAGATGCAATGAGCCCCGAACCACTGGGGCGTTCATGACATAAATTTAAAAAGCAAATACAAATGGAGAGAACCAGAAACGAAGACGGAGAAGCTCAGTGAGCAAAATTCAAGGAAAACGAAACCAACGGAGAAAAGCAGTCGAAATTATGAGGCATAAGGATGTCCAGTTTTCAAGTACACACGATGTAATGAAGTTCATACCACAGCATGGAAGAGAGAAAGCACAGAAACACTGAATGCAGTCTAAGCTATTTCACTGATGATGGATGGAGTCACTAAGTTCTAATGAATGAAATACTGGGGTAAGTGCAGATACACTGCATTCGGAAGGAATGAAAACTAGAAACTAGAAAGTAGGAATGAAGTTAATATGTCATGAAAAATCATGGGAAACCGGTGTATGCACTAGAATTAATAGGGACAATATCGAAAGTGTCGCTTGAAGATAGAGCAACGGACGGTTAAAATGGCAACAGCTCGGAATGTAAGTTGGCTATGAGCGAAAAATCATCAACTCAATCGAATAACCGCAATGGAAGTGGATGCTGTGGTGATAGCTGGTTGTTTGTACGAAGCTGACCGACGGGTTGTAGGCAGGCAGGCAGGCAGGCAGGAGGCAAATCAGCTGTTGCCGACGCAAAAACGGATTATGCGTGGACGAGGATGAGGTTGGAATCAGGATCGGCTATGCTTAGAAGGAACAAAGCACAGCTTTGTCACGAACAACGGCGAAGCAGATTGGCTGGAACAGTCGCGAGCGGAAGAAGCGTGTGCTTTGGCCAGAGAGACAGAAAAGCTAACGCGCTCAACGCAGACGGAGAAGAAGCCGATTGAAGCGAAAAGAAAGTACGGATCAAGTAGCACAAACAGACGTTAAAATTGGAAAGTAAACAATGTGAAGACATCTTGGTCAAATAGCACCCTCCAGTTATCAACAGCACAAACGACGATTTGCTTTAAAAAAATCTATTTTTATCGTTGCCTAGACTTTTAGAGAGCGACAAGACAGGTGCCTGTTGGACAGATCGGTCAATAGATGAATATTGGGTCTTGTCAGTTTGCAACATGGACCTCTACGACCGGTGTAGCCCCCATTTGCTACAAAATAACCCCTCTAATCAGATGGGATGATGGTCGACGAGTTGAGACATGGATCGTTAAGAGGAGGGTCTAAGCTGAAAAAGTCAAAATTGTGTGCTTTTCAAAGCTCGATATAGTCGGATCTTCATGAAATGTTGCAGGGATTATCATTATTTATCATGCAAATAATATATGATAGAGAAATAAAGATGTGCGTTTATTAAGTTTTTATTCACATTTTAGTAAGGTACCTAAATTAGTGATGCCGAATTGGTTGCTGTGGCGTTCTGGGTCCCGTCAAAAAAGTGTTCTATGTATAGAGCTAAAATTTTGTGCAGTTATTTAGATATAGTTCAGCTTTAGAATAAACTTTACTCAACTCTGTATCTGAATTAGATCTTCCAATACTGATGTTCAGATTTGCGTAAAAAGCTGAACTAAGGTTAAAAGTTGACCACAAGTGTAGGACACTTAAAATTAGTTTATTCCATGTAGAAACTAAAGAAGAGCGTCTTCTCCAAATTTTATTGACTTTAGACCATTAGTTTTGAAATTATCTTCAGAACGCTGACGTAAGAGTGAAAAAACGCAGTTTCGAGAAAAATGGCTTTAAAGTTGAAGTACATGAAAAAATGAAAGTCATTTAAACTTTTCTGGCATATCGGTAATTTATACAAATTTTGGTGATGTCCCATAATATGATTCACTTAGAAAAACTAATCTGGACTACACATGGGCACCAGCAAGATAGAACTCTTCGATGTCTTCACACTCCCTTGAAGACGCTACTTTCCGTGCTCGTCGTTCAGCTGGCAGAAGTCCGGCAGTTGCTGCATGAATTCTTGTTTTGTCTAATTCATTACAACACAGTCTGGTATACAATCCAATCACAAATATAGGCAGCCTACCCCTCTCTCCATCAATGAAAACCACTGCAGCATCAGCAATTGCAAGAGTAAGCCTTTGCCTTCCAACAAAACTAGCCTTTGGACACCTTTGCCAAATTAAATTGTGAAAACTTTCATTTGTATTTTGTGTTCCTCCATGGGCACACTTTGACAGTAATGTCTCACTGGCAAGAGTATCAAAAACAGGCCTGATAGCCTTGTACAATATCATTACTGTCATCAATTTCAGCAGCTTGTTCTTGCATATTAGAGCAGCGATTGCCACAAAATCTACGTTTCCTTTGTGTATAAGCTGCCTTTTCTTCTCGTTTTCCCATAATTAGCGAAGATGTGCTCACAAAATCGTCACATACACAAGTGCTGTGTTTGGAAGAATCCAAGATGGCGGCTTACTAGCAACCGATTAGACGAGCTCGCTGATTGGTTCAAATGGCTCTTCTCTCACGTTAAGAACCAATGAAAATGGTTCTTTTAAACTGAATGTTTATGCGGAATTACCAGATAGGCCTTGAAAAGCCGAATCGAATGCAACTTGAATGAAGTTTCTAGGACGTCTACAAGCCGAGATGCAACATTTTAAAATTTACGCATATATAATGAGCTTGAATACATGGAAAAACAAGTCACACATGCTTCACAAAATACTGAAATACTGCATTACAAAAGATGCTAACAGAAAAATGGTCCGCAGATTTATATTTTAGGATGACTGCAGTTGACATTTGTATGCTTTTTCAAAATGGTCAAAAATTACGATTTTTCAGCTTAAACCCTCCCCTTAAAGGACCATTGATGAGTATCCATAACAAAGTGCCCACACAACTATGTGGTTTATCACATCTGTTCATGCGCCATGAGCGGCGTATGTGGTACCTTTGCCTGCGTGATGAGTAATCTTGCATTTCAGAAGTAGATGCTGCTTGAGCTCCCCGGTGTGGATGCGCCTGATGTGAATGTTGACAAGGTGCCTACCTGTCTATTACCCACTACTTCGTCCATATTGGCACCAGGAGACAGTTGGTCGTCGCTGGAGGGGACAGGGTGCACGGTCCTTGTGGCCGTGTTAGGATCAAAGAGTGGTTCCATGCAGTCAGTGTGGAACGGGCTACGGTCCAGCCACCGCCTCGTGTACGTCTGGTGTGTATGATTTCCCAATTAGGCCGGAATGCTTCTGTTCTGCTTGTTGAAGGAGTGTGGGCCGGCTCCGTTGATGAAACGTGGCTCCCATCCGCATGCCTCCCGGTCTTATTCCTTCGGGTTTACACCGGATATGGGGTGTGTGGGTGGAACTATGGGTGGTGCAGCGCAAGCCACCCATGGTCCCATTTGTAGGCGCAGGCGTCCTGTGACTGTCCCCATGGACGTCACAGTGACAGGTAAATCCGGATACGGACGCCGCCAAATCAATCATGCGCACCAGTCAGGTCACTTTGAATGGTGACGGAACGTTTTGGAACTAAACTGCCAAAACTCGGGGAACAGTTCGACTGATTAGTTTCCAATTCACACACGGGACAAACCAGAGGATGGAAATTAAAACAAAGGTGGGTAAGATGGGATTTCAGTCCAGAGGAAAAGTGGAGTAACCCAAAACAAACTCGGTCATCCGGCTCGCGTCAAAGTGACAAGACGTATTCAATAAGGCCATTCAGGTCAGCCACGAGAATGGAATGACACAAAAAACCATGAATTTAAAAGCGATGAAAACAGAGAGAGAGGGCGGGTAAAAACTAAAACGGCTAAATGAATTGATTTTCTGAGGAATGATCCACATCCATCTGTATGTGCGTAGAGCAAAGGCGGTTACGTTAGTAAGCAATAAAAATGACGGCCTTAAGAATGACAGTAAAGGAGCGAATATCATCGTTTCATTGAATCCATTAAAAATAAGGGTAATTGGATGGGTGCGAAGATGCTGATTGATTACCAGCCCGTCACTACACAGATTGCCCATATGATGGTATTTTAACAGGTTACCCTACACTGAAACAGATAACATTTGCGGCAAAGTTTACAAAACGTGAGGGAATCTAGCAAAAAACTGCGGTAAGTACACGTGCATACAGTCGTACCGCTAAAGGAGTGGGGAGATCTCTCATATTTATCAGGACACGGAGAGCACATGCGTGTGGAATGGGGGGCTGACACACTGTTCCCAAGTCGAGTGTTTCGGTCATCTGTTTAGGCGTATTCATGAATGACGGTGGTCAGTGAAGTTATGACTGAACAATAGCCATTTGAAAGCCCCCTCCTAAGATAGGACACGTCAAATGTTCTGGGGTCAATGGACTTTAGAGTGCGGGACGCTCACGGGACTCGGAAGGACGAAAGAGAAGCCCAGTTGAAAGAGGATACTGCGGAGTAACTTCCAATTCCGGTAGTCGCACCAACTGAGGTTAGGCCACGACTTGTGCATAACTAGTTAGCGTTTACCACGCCACAGCCTATATCTGCACGTAGGGCAACATTGCAGAGCCAATCTGGCCAAGTGTCGACAAAGCATTAAACCACTGAAATCTTACCTAGCCGTCGCGGGCTCCATACGTCTTCCCGGTTAGTGGACCCAAGATGAAACGCGTCAGAGGCTTACAACGCTCGGGACAAAGGTGCTCAATCTGCTGTGGAGACAATGTGCGTATGTTTGCGTAAACTTCAAAAGAACAAACTCTAAAAAAGCAAAGAAGTGTTAAATAGTGTGTGAAGGACGAAAAGTAGTGATGTACCTTATTCCTGCTCACTAAGGATCCTCTTTTCAGGGCACTAATGAGATGTGTTTTTGATTCACAATCGTATTGCCCTCAATGGTTCGACTTATATC